GCTTTCAGCCTTGCCGTTTACCCACTAAACCCTCCCTCTACCTCAAAGCCCTCTACCTGACCCTGGGCTTCTCTGCTTTCCCTCATCCCTGAAGTCTCCGGTTCCAAAGGCTGCGTGTCTCTAACTCCCGCTGATCTCTACTTTAGGGATTCGCACCTGCTGGGGGGGGAAGTGGTGTTGGGAGGCAGCGACCCCCAGCATTACCAAGGCAATTTTCACTATGTGAGCCTCAGCAAGACTGGCTCCTGGGAGATCACGATGAAGGGGTGAGCGAGCATCACCTTCCCAACCCCCCAAACCAGATGTTGTCACTGGGATTGGGTGGGGTGGGGTCAGCCACTCCTGAAGGCACAGCCACCATCTGCTCTCTGCCGGCTCTGGCCAGGATGGGGGCATGGGATGCGATTTGAGGGCAGGAGGGAGAGGGCTCAGGGAGAGGAGGTAGAGCCTCTAGACGATGCGTTGATGACAGGGACAGTGGGCACCTTCTCTCAGGGCCCCAGCTCCCCTCCTGTGCACCAGCAGGCCACGCTTATGGCTTCCTATCACTACCCTACATTGGGAAAGAAACGCAGGCTGGGGTGGGAGGCGGGGGGCCTGGCTTCTGCCTGCCTGCCTTCCCGTCTGTCTTTTTACCCATCTAACTGTAGCCTCCGCAGGGTATCTGTGGGGTCTGCCACCTTGCTGTGTGAGGAAGGCTGCATGGTAGTGGTGGACACTGGTGCATCCTACATCTCAGGTCCTACGAGCTCCCTGAAGTTGGTCATGCAAACCCTGGGAGCCAAGGAGAGGAGCACAGATGATGTAAGAAGTGGGTGGAGAGAACGGCCTGGGTGGGGGGGATCATCACCTGGCTCCAGCCTCCAACCCTGGGTCCCAAACAAAGGCATCCGAGCCATCCCTCCCCCTCGGCCCTCATACTCCTTGAATGTGTGGCGTGTCTCTCCCTCGGAGGGTGAGCGGGGATTGTGTCCAGGACTCTCTGGCTTGGGATTCTGGACTTCTCAGACATTTCCATACTGAAAAGAGCTTCCTTCATCCCACAGTATGCTGTGGACTGCAGTCAGGTGCCCAGCCTCCCCGACATCTCCTTCCACCTGGGAGGCAGAGCCTATACACTCACCAGTGCGGACTACGTACTCCAGGTGAGACTCCATGAGGAGGGTGGGCAGGGGCCACGGAAAGGGGAGAAGCTGTGTAGTACAGACCACCTACTAGGCCAGGGATCCATGAAGGAGGCCCGTGCCACCTAGAGACTTTTTAACAATCCCAGTACCCAGGCCGCTGCCTGGCCTAGCAGTCAGACCTAAGACAGGCACCTGGGAATCAAAGTTTTCAAAACTCCCCAGATTCAGGTGGGCAGTGGGCGCACACGCCTTTAATCCCAGCACTCGGGAGGCAGAGGCAGGCGGATCTCTGTGAATCCCAGGCCAACCTGGTCTACAGAGAGAGTTCCAGGACATCCAGAGCTGTTACAGGGCTGTCTTGAAAAATCAAAAAGGAAAAACAAACAAAAACCAAAGCAAACAAACGAACAACAAACTCATGCAGTGACTCAGTGACAATGCTCTCTCCATGCTCTCTCCTGGCCCTCCTTTTAGTCCTCTGCCATTTGCACTCTTACGGGCCTGGAGAAGCTCCGTGATTTGGTTGGGGTCAGAAGCTAAGTAAGCCTGAGAGCACAGGGTAGACTCACTGTTTGCCTGCTATCTACCACAGTGCCTGCCTGCCAGCACCCCCCCCCCAGGAAGCCTGCAATTTAGGCTGGGCTGAGCCGGCTCTGGGAGGGACTAGGAGGGGTGGGGCATACACTGAGGACAGTTGTGTGTTGGGGGTGGGGAGGGTGTCAGGTGTTGGTAGGGGTTGTGTCATGGGCAGTACAGCAAGCCTCCCAATTCTTGCCAGGATTCCTACGGGAATGATGACCTATGCACGTTGGCTCTCCATGGCCTAGACATCCCGCCACCCACTGGGCCAGTCTGGGTCCTGGGTGCCAGCTTCATCCGCAAGTTCTACACAGAGTTTGATCGGCATAACAATCGCATTGGGTTTGCTTTGGCCCGCTAATGCCCTCTGTCACCCAGTGACCCTAGTTCCTCAGGCCGAGGCAAAGCTGGTGCTCCTGAGAGCCACTTTGTCTGGGCTTGCCCCCCACACACACACACTGGGACACTGGACACAGCTCTCCATGAGTGCTTGCTCCCTTGTCTGCACTCAGGGTTCCCTGCTTTGAGGAAACACGAAATAAAGGCGTCATGTTACACGGATGGGTTCTTTTGAGTTTGGAGCAGGAGGGACAGTTGCATGGTCACATAGAGAGAAGACACATGGCAAATGGAGCTGGGGAGGTAGCCTTGACAGTAAAGTGCTTGTTTTCCCAGAGTTTGATCCCCAGAACCCACATCAAAAACAAAAACTAAAAAGGCCAGGCAGGACAGCAACCCAGGAGGATGGAGAACGGAGACAAGCAGGTCCTGGGGGCTTGTTGAAACTGTCCTTTGGCCACCACACACACAGAGAGACAGACACGAGCACAGAGACACAGAGAAAGAGACAGAGAGGCATAGGGAGAGAGGGAGAATGTGATAAAAAAAAAAAAGACATCCCTCCCCACATGCTTTGTGTGTAAGGCCAATGCCTCCCATCTACTGTCAAAAGGGTTCACACAGAGTTTGTTCATACAACAACCTTGGTTGGGGACTTTGCAAAGATATAGGCCCCATGTTCCTCAAGGGCCACTGGGAGGAAAAAAGCCATAGGGCTGTGGCAGTAGAGTGTAGGTAAATACACTGGATAGTTTTATGTCGACTTGACGCAAGCTGAGGGCATCTGAGATGAGGCAACCTCAGTTAAGAGAAAGGCTTCCATGAGACGGGGCTACAGGTGTAGGAAACTTTCTTAGTGATTGATGTGGGAGGGGCCCAGCCCATTGTGGGTGGGGCCAGGTTCTATAACAAAGCAGGCTGAACAAGCCAGAGGGAACAAGCCAGTAAGCAGCACCCTTCCATGGCCTGTGCATCTGCTCCTGCCTCCAGGTTCCTGCCTTGCTTGAGTTCCTTCGGGGAACTGTGATACAGAAGTACAAGCAAATAAGCTCTTTCATCCCCAAGTTGCTTTGATCATGGTGTTTCATCATAGCAATAGTAACTCTAACTAAGACAGACAGAGAGATGCTTCCAGCTCATAGAAGGCAGCACTGATCCCAGGTTCTGTGCTGCAGAGCGATTTGACGTCACATAGAGGTCCCTGGGAAGCTCCTCTCAGCTGCCTCTGCATCCTCTATGTTCCCCTGCCCCATGTGACCACTGACACAGGCAACCTAAGCCATCACCGCCTGACACAGGACTTCAGGCATCTGACAATCCTACCTCACATGTGAGAAACACGTAGAGACAGAAAGGCATTTGGCCACGATCACTTGGTGATGAATCAAGCAGGGAAGAATCCTGAGAAACTCTGACTCAGGTCCTGGGGACTTCCACCTTCATCCCACATGAGTGGTGCTGGTGCAGGGACAGAATTTCCAGCGCCTTGGATCGGGTGCACACACAGGCTGCTGTCTTCCACCTCAGGGCCTGAGGTTGACGCCGCAGGCTGAGGGCTATCCTGTCACTCCCTACCTGTACCTTCTCAACCCTCTTTTGACCATAAAGTATAAGGGACTGAGTGTTCCAAAGAAGCCCGCGGTGTCTGGACTTCACCGTCATGGGGTTAAGGGTCCCAGGGCGTCTCTGAGGTGGTATTTGCGTAACAGGAGCTGTTTGCAGAGTCCTGGCACAGAGCTGAGAGCGAGAGCCCGGACTCCCGCTGATTTTGATCCCTGGTCCAGCACGGTTCTCTTTGCCTATTGCAAAAGAATGGGCTGGAGGCAATGTCCTCTCCGGCTCTGGCATCCTGAGGCTGTATGACTTTAAGTAGGCGGTTCCTCCTCTATCATCTGCGACAACATCCCATACAGTGGCGGCAAACTGTCACTTACGTACTTATTAAGATTAAAGTTACACAAAATGCCATACTGCTGAGTAGCCTCGTGGGGCTAGCGGCCACTGTAAGAGCATCAGCATAGAAATTGTACCAGGAGACCTGGGTCCTGGGCAGCAAGAATCAAAGGGCCTTGTGGGTGAGAGGTCCCTGAATAGTCAAAGGGACAACTTGGGAACACAGAGACACATCTGTTTTGTGGGTATGTTTCAAGTGTAGCAGTGTGAGATGGTAAGCAGTGAAGTCCCTGAGGCAAAGCCCATTTTGCTACAGCAGAGGGCTGGCCCCTAATACGGTTTGCTCTGAAGGTGTGAAGGTGTCCAGGGGAACACACGGTTAAGAGAGGGTCTTTCCAGAGGCTGCCGTGTGTCTTTCCATGGGTCTCCTCTCCACAGCAAGTCCCCCAGGGGACTTCCTCTAGGATCTGTGTCATCCGCCACTCCACAGGTCCGTAGGTTGTGCCAGGCCTTCGATCACCTCTTTGCCCAACAAAGCACTGGGCTACAGGCACCTGTTCACCCGCTATCTGTGCCCAGTCAGCCTCGAACGACGATAGGGAGGTTGAGTTAAGGATTTAGTGAGTCACTCACTCATGTACTCATAAAATACCCAGGAGTGTTTAGTTAGAGCCCAGGCTACCTATGGGACATTCACCCCGCCACAACGTGGCTCTCCATAGAATGTGTGTGTGGTGGTGAGTGATGCCTGGAAGGCTGGAAGCCTTAGAGATGCAGCCCAAGCTTTTCCAGGGGTCCAGGGATTTGAAGGCAAGCCAAAGCCCACACTTTGGGAGCAGCCAATCTCCACTATTCCAGGATGAGGTGGGGACAAGGACGAGTCCTCCCTGCCCCAGCCCCACGCCCTACCCTAGGCTACCAGGAAAGAGCTGCCAAAGAGCTGTGGGCCCCAGTGGGAACCGGGTCATCCCACACTAGGATGCCCAAGCAGGGATCTGGGGAGGGGCCTGAGGAGGCTCCGCCCTTTGCGTCATCGAGGCGGGGCATCACCCCCACCCAGAGTTCCAGGTAGCCACAGGCCCAGCTGCGGGAGATGGCGGGCTGCACTCGCCCGGAGGCGGAGGCGGGGCGGGCAGGGGGCGTTACTGCGGCCCGTGATGTCACTGTCGCGGCGGACCCCGGCGATCCCCGGCCAGCTGTGTGGCAGGGCCCGATCGTAGCGGGCAGCTCGCTCCTGAGTCATGGACTTCCCCTGGCCCCTCCTCGACCACTCCCACTCCCTCTCAGGGCCCACCCGTAGGGGCTAAGGCGGGCGCGGCGATTCCGAGGGGGTGGGGCTGCTGGGAATGGCTGTGCCCCCTTCGGCTTCAGTGCCGCGCTCGCCCTTTTACCTGCCGAGGCAGGCGCCTTGCCCGCAGTGCTCATGGGGCATGGAGGAGAAGGCGGCGGCCAGCGCCAGCTGCTGGGAGCCTGCAGGGCCCCCGAGGGCCGCCGTCCCGTGCTTCGGCGTCACGGTGGATCAGGACGACATCCTCCCCGGTGCCCTGCGCCTCATCCGGGAGCTGCGGCCGCACTGGAAGCCCGAGCAAGTTCGGACCAAGGTAGCCGAGCGGGCGCGAGGCCGGGGATGGGGCCCTGCCTGGGCTGCAAAGGGGCTGCGTGGACCCCCGTCAGCGCATCCTTCCGAGTGCGGGTCCCAGGGTTGCGCGGCTGTGGCGCAGGAAAGGTGTGGACCGTGGTTTGCATGTGTGCTTAGCTCTCCATCTCTTTTTGCTCCCTGTGCTTCCCTGGACCCTTCCTACTGGTCTCTTCCAGGGGTCCCCAAGCATGCAGCTTGAGGTCTACCTGCCCACTGTCAGCACGGTGCGCGTGCGGTCCCACCCCCTGTCGCTGAGTGCACGTCCCCTAGCTGCCCAGAAGTGCGTACTCAGCCTCTCTGAAGCCCGAGGAGACACGAACTTTTAAGGAAAGCTCCCCGTACACCCTGTGCTGCTCCTTCACCCTAACGGGAGAGCCAAGCCCTCAGGGGTCTGAGCATTCCCTGTGGGCCCCAGAAACCAGCCCTGTGGAATTCTGAATTCCTGCAAAGCACCTTCACCATGGCCTCAGGCTGGTAGTTCTGAGGAACTCCCCTTCACCTCCCCTCGGCTGGATACCTCTCTCTCTCTCTCTCTCTCTCTCTCTCTCTCTCTCTCTCTCTCTCTCACACACACACACACACACACACACACACACACACACACACCTGTGGGCACAGCTGCCCACTTTGGCCCCTGGCTTACTCCTCAGATGTCCTGCATTCTCTTCAAAATAATGTTTACACCTATGCAGCCACCCGCACGCAGCCTGGCAGGAAGGCACAGAGGGGTAGGGTCCCACGTCACAGACCTTCTGAGTGGGTAAGGTACAGCTCTGAGGAGAGTCTGGGCTGAGTGTGTAGCGGTTTTTCAGAAGACCCTGTCAGGACCAAGGCAGACCTGAGATCAAATCCAGCACTAGCGTATAGATTGCTGACCGGCACGAAGCCTGTTTCCTCCCCCAGCATGGGCTCAGGTGGCCTCTAAAGGCCCATCCAGCTCTGTCACCTGGTGCCCATAGAACTTGTGCTCATGGCCCCGTCCTCCCTGCTGCCATGAGTCCGTGTTCCTGTTCCTGTTGTCTGTGTGGAATTCAGAGACTCAAGGACCTCTGGCCACCAGAGCTCTGGGCTGAGTGCCAACCTCAGTACCCTCTGTCTCTCTGCCACTGGATGGAGCATGGGATACAGCTCCTCGCCTGCCTTGGTGAGAGGCAGCTGGTTAGGGTGTCATGTCTGTCTGGGCAATTTCCAGCCCTCCTTGGCCACATTCTCACCTGTGGTGGGTTCTTTCACCGTCACGATGGAGAAAGGAGAGGAGAAGCCCCTGCCCACTGCCAAGTGTGGACATCCCGGTCCTGCCAAATCCCACGCCCCGGAGGCAGGCCTAGGCTGAGTGAGTGTGCCTGGGCTCGGGGTGGCTACCACCTCCCTCCCTGCTTGGGTTTTAGTTTACTTCAAGGCAGAGTATGGTGCTGGCTGGTTTGGGATTGTATCCGACATTCAAATGAGCACGTTCTGCTTTGATTGGAGCTCTGGGAAGAGACCAGAGGACTATTTCCCACCCTCCTACCCATAGCTGCCCTCTCCCCATGCTAGCGCTTCAAAGATGGCATCACCAATAAGCTACTGGCCTGCTATGTGGAGGAGGACATGCGGGAGTGTGTACTGGTCCGGGTGTATGGGGAGCGGACAGAGTTGCTGGTGGACCGGGAAAATGAGGTCAGGAACTTCCAGCTGCTTCGAGCACATGGCTGTGCCCCCAAACTCTACTGCACCTTTCAGAACGGGCTGTGCTATGAGTACATGCAGGGTGTGGCCCTGGGACCGGAGCACATCAGAGAACCTCAGCTCTTCAGGTGAGTAGGGTACAAGACATCATTTTCCCCAGGGTTATGGTTTTGAGGTCCTTTTGATTTGGGTTTGTTTGTTTTCTGAGACAAGGTTTTTCTCTGTGGCTTTGGAGCCTGTCCTGGAACTCACTCCGTAGAGCAGGCTGGTCTCACACTCACAGAGACCTCCCTGCCTCTGCCTCTGCCTCCCCGGTGTTGGAATTAAAGGCTTGTGCCACCGCCGCCCGCTGGTTTTGAGGTTCTTGGCTGGCTTCCTCAGTGTGCAGTGGTGCCCGTGGAGAAGAAACATAAGTCATATTTTCATATTGCTTTCAAAGTATTTGCTGATATGCTCTCCTCGGTGGTGTCCACTAGAAGGATGAGTTCCAGGGGAACAAAGTAGTCCCATAAATGTATCAAAGGTCAGGTATTTGTTCCCCCCCCCCCATTTCCCAAACCTCTGCCCACTCTGTGTCAGATGTGGAAACATCCAGAAGCTCTGGAAATGAAATCTGAGCTAAATTCTGAAGGCACACGGGATGTCTACCCCTTTCTATCTTTATCCGGGGAGAACTTGACATTAGCAAACCAGAGATAGTCTCCCCCCACACCCCTAAGCTGAGGGCCCTTTGGTTTCCCTGACAGTAGAGAGCCACGTTTGGAGTATGACCGAAGCCTCCATTCATAAGGCCCCCAAGAACTGAGCCCTGTTCCCAGTGAAGACTTGGATATGTAGGGCCTAGGAATTACATTGAACTTTCAAGCCCTGTGGATACTGATGTAGGGCCCAAAATGGGGAGAACCGAACAGCCCCCAGTACCCCCCCCCCCCCCCCCCCGCTCTGGCTGGGTCAGGAAGGGCGGTCAAGCATTACAGCATTACTCCCCACACAGTGCCATGAGCTATGTGACGAGGGGCCCCTAGACCATCATAGTGAGGCATGGGCAAGCTGAGGGTTACTCCCCATGCTAGGGCCAGCAGGGCAGTCTGCCCAGGTGTTTTGCTTGGCATCTACAGTATCCAACCCAAGAGGAAGGAGACTTTTCTTGCATTCTGAGGGTAGTAATGTCCACCTAAGGGTAGGCCTAGCTCTTCAGTAACCCCTCAGCTGCCCACCAGCCAACCCAAGTAAGTGCACTTGGCTCTCTGCATACATGGCTGGCCCTCCACACTCTAAGACTGCTGGGGCCCCCCAGAACATTGCATTTGAGTTGTGCGTTATAGCTGCTGCTGCTGGTGGTGTGTGTGTGTGTGTGTGTGTGTGCGCTCACGCGCGTGTGTAGGGTGTGCACCTATGTGGGGGTCATAGGCAATCAATGAGTACACCCATCTTGGAGAGGTGAGGTTGGAGCAGGGCACAGGGGACCCTCTGCTGCTTTTGTCCCCCCCCCCCCTTAGTCTTGTGCCAGTAAGCTCACATACTGGCAGATCCCCACCACTGCTGGCAGATCACCGCCTCTGTGAACCTCATCCACTTTCTGGAAACAATTACCACTGTCAGGAAGATTGAAGGGGGATTTAGGTGCCATAATAAGATGTTGGTGTTTGGAGGAGAGCCAGAAATCGGCGAGGGTGTAGGAGGAAGGCCTTTCCCAGGATGGAGCTTTTCCCATCCTGTCATGGTGACCACGGGGTATCTGCAGGAAAGTGCCCCACCCCAACCCCCTACCTCAGCTCCCTTGAGCCCACCCCAGCCTGGTCCGCTGAGGCTCTGCGCCATGAACATGCTGAGTGTTGAATTTGCTCCGGTTGCTATCCACACGTCAGCCTTTTTGACATTCAAGGAAGGGGCCGCTCTGTTCAGAAGACACGGGCTGGGCCTGAAGTCTGTGTCTTCCTTTTTCCGAGGTCCTTGGTGGGCTCTCACCGACCCCAGGGCCTCTGACCTCCCTCCGCACACCTACCCAGCTGCTGATGGCCCTCCACCCTTGAGGAAGTGGGAGGCTTGGGGAGGAGCCTGAAATTGCCATTATCCTGATGGTGTATGGCCCCGGCCCTTCCCAGGCCTGGCAAGGGGGGGGGGTAGCCTTAGGACAGCTCTGTTACAAGGTTTCAAACAACCAGAGCCTTTGTTGTCCTTCCTAGTGATTATTATTCCAGCGACGGACGGAGGTTCAGGCCAGGGAAGCTCGGAGGCTTGGCAGGCACTTGGGGTTGGATTGCAGCGGGGAGAGACCAGCTGGGACCCCAGCCTCCATGCTGACCTTGGCACTGGCCTTGGTGCTAGGCTCTTATCAGGGCCCTTCCCTCTCCAGTAGCCAGTCCTCTACCCCCCCCCCCCTTCTCACTCCCAGCAGGCCTCCCTGCTGCCCACTCCGTTCTCCCCCAGGACCTTGGATAATGTCTGTAGGAGAGAGCTTGAAGATAGAAGAAGGCTGGCTTGTTTTCGCGTCCTTGGTATTCAGTCGCCAGCATCAACGCCCTGTGGTGTCAGAAGGGGCTGCCCTGGACCAGCCTCCCCACTGTGGCCAGACTGATAAAAAGCTAACATTCCCTCCTGGCCTGGGGTCAACACCGCTTCACGGAAAGGGACCCGCTGCCACCTCTCCAGAGAGGATGGGGCAAAGTCTGGGGATGGGGTATGGCTCTTATGCCTGGTTGCCCCTGTGTTTCCAGGGGCGGTGATGGGAAGGCTAGGGAAGGCCAAGCTGCTGGCCTGAGGGGAATGGTCCTCTGCTTTTTACTGGCCCAGCTCCAGGACTAGAAAAGGTCTTACTGCATTTTCCTGCCTTCTGCTGAGACCTTGTTTGGGAGACCAAGGGGTCCCTGGGACCTGTCAAGATCCCACAAGTGGCCCTCCAGCGAATATCCAGAAGAACCTTCCAAACCCTCTCTGGTCAGGAGGGGCTGGGCAAGAGGACAAGCCCAGTACTGACACCCTATCCCTTCCGTCTCTGTTGTAGGTTAATCGCCTTAGAAATGGCAAAGATCCACACCATCCACACCAATGGCAGCCTGCCTCAGCCCACCCTGTGGCATAAGATGCACCGTTATTTCACGCTGGTCAAGGATGAGATCAACCCCAGGTACAGAGATCTGAGAGGGCTCAAGGCCGTCAATGGCTCTGCCCTGCCCTGTACTTTTGGCTCTAGGCAACTCTTAGAGGAGGTTTAGAGATGCAGGCCCCAGTGAGGAGGAATCCCTCCTGGGCCCCTTCTGCCCTGAGCCACAGTGCAGGCAGAGGAAGGCCATCGGCTGCCTCTCAGCAAGTGCAGGTACAGTTTGGTAATGTCTGTTGACTGCTGTCCCTGTGTAGCTGTGGTGAATGATCTTGTCCCGAAGAGAGAGATCCTTGGTGAAGAGCTGGCCAGCCTCCTTTGTTCTTGTCATGCCTTTGACCTCTGGAAAATCCAGATTTAGCCTTTTTGAAGGTCTCTAAGGAATCACCCTTTACAACTGCCTCGCACATCCCACGGCAGGGCAGTGTGGAACAGTCATTGAAACTACATGGAGCATCTTGGACTCCTCATGGCCCTGACTTATTCAATCCTTCATTTCACACACATTGACTGACTGGGATTAAGACGGTAGAAAAGAAAAGGCGATTGTGACACAGACCCTGCTATCTGGGTAAACAGAACATGCCTGTACTTGGCACAAAAGAAGGCAGGGCGTGTAATGCATAAGCCGGGGTAGCGAGGGGCGGCAAACGCCACCTTGGCAGGGGTGGCAGTGTGAGATGAGAGGGACTGCTCCAGCTCAGGAGACAGCCAGGGGGGGTGGATCTGTTGAAGGTTGCCGAGTAGGTAAGCGAGGCCGGGGCAGATGTTCGGGAGGCCACGGGAGGGAAATAGGATCTGGAGGGAGGGGGCTTGGGTACCAGGCTAAGGAGCCAGGAAGTCATGAAAGAGTGTTTGGTTTTTGTTTGTTTGAGACAGGGTCTCACTATGTAGCCCACACTAGCCTCAAACTCATGTAGCCCGAGCTAACCTGTCTTGAACTCATGGTCTTACTGCCCAGTGCCCCAAGTACAAGTGTGTGCCGCCATGGCCACGATTATGAAGGCATCTGAGCCACAACTATGGTTTATGGGCATAAGCGCAGCTTTGGTGAGGGGGCTGGTTGTGCACACGAGGTAGGGAGGTTCTGGGACTGGGAGGCCTAAGCTAGGAGATCCAGGTCCCCCATAGTGCACTTTGCCAGTCCAGGCCAGGGAGTGCTTCCCGACTGCATGTAGGTGGCCTCCCCCAATGCACAGAACACATCTGAGGCAACATTGCTCGTGGCAGCCTGGTGGGTAGGTGGGAATGGGGGACAGACACTACATCAGAGACTGTGGACGGCGACTTGGTGGCACCGGTGGCTTCTTGGCCCTGGGTGGGGCAATCTGGGCTGGTGACTACCTTAGGGACAGCATGAAGAGTGGCCGGGCTGATGAAAGGTTAAGAAAGCCAAGAGACTGGACCGGTAGAGCTGGTCCCTTAGAACTGTCATTCCTCCGGTGGGAAGTGAATGGCAAGCAGCAGCCCCTCCCCCAGCAGGAGCCTCAGGCCTCTTAGAGACCCCAGCCTTCATCCCTTCTGCTGTTTCCGGGGTGAGGATGTTTCTGCGTGGCAGCCTGCTCTACCGCTAACCCTGCAGAGGTGGAGGGGTTTGGTGCTGTCAACAAAGCTGGCCCAGGCCCGCTGTTCAGGGAGGGACATTGCAGTCGAAGGGGGCCCTGGAGATAGGCCCAGATTGTTCTCATAGGAAGTATCACAGTGGCCTTGGCAGGGCAGGGTAGGGTCAGACTGGGGCCAGCAACTGGGAGCCGGCATCCGGCTGTCACAGGCCTGTTTTTCAGACTGAGACCTGGGCAAACCAGAGGAACCCTCCTCGGCCTTTATCTTGAGATAGCCTCAGAGGAAGAGAGGAGTTTCCAAAGTATCTTCAGGGAGGGGTGTGTGAATGGCTGGGGACGGAGCTTGGCCGTCCCCTCTGTCAGATCAAGGCTGCATAGTCCTGTGGTGAGGAAACATGGCAGATAGCCTGGGAACCCAGCTGGGCTGAGGTGTTGGGTTTGGGTGTACCCATGCTATGAGACATCTGGGGTGAGGCTTTTTCCCTTTCTGGAACCTGCATTTCCCAGTTCTGTAGGATGGAAGACCCCTCTAGCCTTGGCTTTCCTTTTCAATAGGGGGCATGGGGACATCTTAGACCCCCTACCCATTGGGGAGGCGAACCAGGACCCATCTTACTGTCATCTTTGCCATCCTAGGCAGAGAAAACAGGCGTGGAGCCCAGGCCCAGCACCCCCTCCCCAGGGCAGCTCTGAATTTTGAAATACTATGCTGTTTGGCTTTCCCATTGTACACAGACCTGTGTAACTGAAGGGTCAAAGTTCAGAGAACCTGAGTACAGCGTGTCCTTACCCAACTTCTGCATTGATGGACCCACAATGGTTCATTCCCCAGCCCAGCATGCTTGGCACACAGTGCTCCTTTGGTGTGACATGGGTGTGTGTGTGTGTGTGTGTGTGTGTGTGTGTGAGTAGCCTTGTGTAGCTTTGCTTCGCCTCCAAGCTGGTCTAGCAGATATCAGGAACCAGGAAGCACTCACAGCTCAAGGTCACAGGAATTGGAGCTGCTGGGAGTGGCTAAACGGGTCTCACACACGGTGTGCTGGGGGCGCTGGTGTCTCTCTGACCTAGCTTGCCTTGTTATGGTCCAGTGAGATGACTGACTAGACCACAGGCTGTGACCTCAGCGGCTGAGGTAGGAGGGGCCACATGAGAGCACCCCTCTGCCTTGTTGAGAAAGTTTGTTTCTCTAGTCCCTCCTGGGGTTCTGTGACTGGGGGGCGGGCCTCATCTTGGAGGCACACAACCTCTCCTAGGGAGGTCCTGGTACAGCCTATTCTGCCTCTCACCCTCAACTCTACTGGCCCCATTGTCTCGCCCCATGGCCTCCAACACTTGTCACCTCTCCTGTCCCCCCCTGGGTCCCCTTCCTCACCCAGGGTTGCCATTCAGGGAGTGACTTTGTTTGATTTTCAAGACATCATTTCTCGGTGTATCTATCCCTGCCTGTCCTGGAACTTGCTCTGTAGAGCAGGCTGGTCTCGAACTCACCAAACTCCACCTGAGTGCTGGGAGTAAATGCATGCACCACCATTGCCCTGCTTATTCAGCGACTTTTGTGTTCTGCCAGCTACTTGTATGAGCAGGTTTTAACCTGCTTCTCGATGTAACCCTGGGAGCCAGAAGGTCAGGGCATGCTTATGTGTGACAGCAGCGGACCTCTGCCAGGCTGACCTTTCTTCTGTGTACAGTAAATGAATGATTGGACCAGAGTTTAGGGCTTGCCTGTCTGAGTCAGCCCTCTCCCAACCTGCCACTTCCTTCCTTTCTTTCTTTTTTGCCACTGTCTAGCCTTTCTGCAGATGTCCCTAAAGTGGAGGTGTTGGAACAGGAGCTGGCCTGGCTCAAGGAACACCTGTCCCAATTGGGGTCCCCTGTGGTGTTCTGTCACAATGATCTGCTCTGCAAGAATATCATCTATGACAGCACTAAAGGTACAGCCCCTCAAGCCCCTCAGATGTGAGGGCGCGGGCCAGCTGGCTGGTCTGCTGGCTTCAGGGGTCTGAGGACAAGGGCTTTCCCTCATCATGGCAAACACTGGTATGCTTACGGTGATCTTAATTTGTGAGAAAGAACAGGGAAGGGAATGGGAAAGGACCGCCTAGGAAAACGTATTGCAAGAAGGAACTCAATCATAGGCGGGAAGGCCTTCCCCGGCAGGACACCCAGGCCATGTGTCCTGATGACTTTATGAGCTTCTGAGGACATCGTGGCTTCTCCAAGCCTCGAGAGGGCAGGAGGATGAGGAAGGGAGTGGGGCAGGGGGATTGCCTGCTTCGTGTTCCCCTGGGAATACAGGTGTCCCTTGTTATATACACCGAAGATTGGTTGTGGGACATTTGAGAGTGTCAACAAGTCTCCTATAAAACAACAGAGCTTTGTAGCGAGAATGTGAGGCCCAGAACCCTGTCCCCAGCACCCCGAAAGTAGTGAAAATAAATATCCAGTACAGTACAAATACGAGCTGAATAGGTGTTCAGCCATGTGGTCTTAGGAATGACAAAGGGGGAAAGTCTGTAGATATGAAATTTTAAATCAGTATTTGCTGTGTGTGATTCCTTTGCCTACATGTGTGTCTGTGTATCACAGGCGTGTAGTGCCCACAGAAGCCAGAAGAGGGTGTTGGATGCCCTGGACCTGTGGTTATGGTTGGTTATGAGCCACCATGTGGGTTCTGGGAATTGACCCTCAGGTCCTCTGCAAGAGTAGCCTGTTTTTTGTTTTGTTTTGTTTTTCGAGACAGTGTTTCTCTGCAAAACACTCCTGGCTATTCTGGTGCTCACTCTGTAGACCAGGCTGGCCTCGAACTCACAGGGATCTGCCTGTCTCTGGCTCCCTAGTGCTGGGATTAAAGGCATGCGCCACCCCCAATTAGTCTGACTCTTATCTACTGAGCCATATTTCCATCCCTCAGATCAAATTTTAAAGATTTTCAGTCTATAGTAGTTGAACCCATGGCTGTGGGACCCGGTACATGGTATTGCTTTGACTAAGCTGAGGACAGATAAATGCCTTTAGAGAGGGAACCTGAGGACCAGGGGGACAGATGGGAGGGGCCTAGAAGGTTGAGGCAGAGATCAGGGAGGGTCAGAGGGTGTGTTGCAGAGGTCTGACCACGCCCCGTGTCCAGATCTGGAAGCAGCTGTCACTTCTTGTCCTCACAGGCTGTGTGCGGTTCATCGACTATGAATACGCAGGGTACAACTACCAGGCTTTTGACATTGGCAACCATTTCAATGAGTTTGCAGGTAGGGGCATCACCCTGACCTCCGCGCCCTCCTTACGATGGGGTGCCAAGGGTGCGTGCGGGGGAGGGCCACGGGTGTCCCAGACTTGAGGTGTGATGGGTGTGAGGCGGGCACAGCCTGCTTTGAAAGAGCAGCCTGTCTCACAGAAAGGAACCCTCCTCTCCAGAGCCGACCTCTGCTAGCCTGTGCGACAGGCAGTTTGGTACAAAGGAGGAAGACACATTCACTGCTCAGCCTGACGTGTGAATTAAGGAAGACACCCTTCCAACCGGGGCTCAGCTACTTGGGGGTCTGAAGCAGGAGGGTCCCAGTTCAAGGCTAATCTGGGCAACTTAGTAGGACCCTGTCGTAAAATTAAAGATAGTTACGGATATATCTCAGTGGTACACCACTTGCCTATCATGTACAGGGCCCCGAATTCAATATCGAGTACCAAAAAGAAAAAGAAAGAAAAAAATGCCCCATCCTCAGGACAGGCACAGTCCCCACCAGCTTGGCTAGCAACCCTTCATATACAGTGCAACTTGTACAGTTGTCCCTGAAGGCCTTGAGCACAGACAGGAGCAAATGAGCTGTAAGTAGCTGTTTACTTGGTGTCCTGAGGCAAACAGCCTAGGCAGAGCTAGTTAAAAATATTTCCACAACTTGATTTCCTGGGTTCCAACCCTAAGTTTGTTGTTACTAGTGGTAAGATTCAGGTCACTGGCCTCTGTGGCTGTAAAGTAGAGATGATGTAGTACCTACATCCTTAGTGGAGCTGGACACAGTTGGAGGGCCATCTGCAGGCTGGTATGTGTGTGGGCTTAGCGGTGTGCCATGCTAGTCTCCTCTAGGGCTTAGGAAAGGTGGGATGCCCTTGGCCCTTCCCCGATCTGGCCCAGCCCAGGTTGGTGAATCACATCTCTTCTAGAGCCTCAGAGGATCAGGTCTGTGCAGTTGCTTGCACCTAGGGGCCCAGCTCTTTAGGGCAGTCAGAGGGAGGGGTTGGGCCCCAGCTGGGCTGTGATGAGCTGAAGCAGAAGCCTGGCCTGTAGGGCACATGTCAGGCAGTACTCAGCTACTGAGAGGCCTTCGAAGAGGTGTTAAGTCCTTATCCAGTGCACAGGGCACAGTTGAGCTGGGCCTTCTCCAAAGGGGTGGGCTGGGGCCTTTAGGAGCTGGCAGGCAGCCTCTGGGCAGTAGGAAGCTACAGGTCCAACCCAACTGGGCTTTCTCATCTGCAAGGGAGATTCTTTACTACCCACACGCTTCCACTGTGCTCCTCTGGGGCTATCAGGGGCACATGGGAAGGGTGTAAGAAGGGGAAGGAGAGACCCTGGAGATGTGGCCCAGGTCTGTTCCCACCTTAGCTAAGCTGTTTATAATTCCTGGCCTACCCTGTGCCAAGCACGAACCTGGAGGATGTGGGAAGCGGCTTGAAAACACTTAGGTCGGGGAAGGAGGGTGCAAACGGGGCTGTCAGTCATGGGGAGTGGCGGATGTGGACACTTCCCCGGGAGATGCCAGTTCGAGCAGCGACATTTAAAAATGGTAGCCAAGTCCGACTTCTTGTCTGGAATGTGAAGGGATTATTAGGACCCTCAAATGGAAGGGCTGTTCTGAGGTCAAGTGGTCCCAAGTCTGAGACTTCTGCCAGGCATCCCTTTATACAGGAACAGACATGCCTTTTTAGAGGCACTGCCTTGGGATTCCCACCATTTCAGGCGGTACCTGGCCTTTGACCACTCAGCCTCCTCTTTCCCCTAGGCAAATGGTACCCAGCTGGGCAGAGGAAATCCGCTCTACTGACTGAGCTGCCCTCACAGGGCTCCTCCTCAGGCCAGCCTGCAGCTCAGGGTAGGAGACTTCCTGGGCTCAAACCTGAGAGGAACTCTTCCAGCAACTTCTGTCTCACCTGCCTCGTAGGTGTGAATGATGTTGATTACTGCCGGTATCCAGCTCGGGAGCTCCAGCTGCAGTGGCTGCGCTATTATCTGGAGGCACAAAAGGGGACAGCTGCGACCCCCAGAGAGGTGGAGCGGCTCTATATACAAGTCAACAAATTTGCTCTGGTGAGTGCCTGGACCTGCCAGTCTCCCCCCCCCCCCAGCCCAGGGTCAGATGTGCTTAGTGAGGGCTTCCATTGCTCAGATGAAACTTGGGTAGGAAAGGGTTTATTTTGCCTTATTCCTTAAATCTATCATCTAGGGAACCTGGAGGTAGAAACTGTAGAGGCTAGAAGAGCTGCTTACTGGTTTGTTCCCATGCTTGCTCAGCCTGCTTTCTCATACCATCCAGGACCACCAGCCTAGGGAATAGCACTGCCCACGGTGGACTGGGCCCTCCCGAAGCTGTCAGAAAATGCTCTACAGGCCAAGCCAGTGGGGTTTGTGTCCTCGATTTAGATTCATTCCTCCAAAACGACTCTAGCTTGTGTCGATCTGGCATACGGCTAGCCAGTCCAGTTGTGGACTGCGCTCCACCAACACAGGATCTGGGGACACCCATTTCAGGGGTTCCCTTAATGTCCCTGCCACCTCTGCTACTCAGCCTGCCACTCGCCCCTCTAGAATATTTCCAAGAAACACCTCAGCTTCCAAGCTCTGCAAACCCGTTTGGATGGCTGGTTCTCTCTGCTAGCTAACCTTAGTGTTTCATGCTACACCAAGACCCTCCTCACAACTTGCCAGCCTAGCTTCCCAGGCTCCCTACGCCACTTGTGTGTGCCGAGGCCACTAGGCATGGGAAGACAAGCCAGCTCCAGGTTTCACAATCCATAACAGAGCTTAGAAAATCTGTCTTTTCTGTGATTGATTGCCTGTCCTGGTCCATGCTGGCCCAAACCTGACCCTCTTCCTCCCTTAAGAGCAAATCTTCTCTTGCTCAACGTTTAAGCAAATACAACCCCATTCTTGTTCCCTTCCAAGCCGTGGAAAGGGAAGTGGAGGGGGCCCTCCTTAGCAACTGTGTGACCGGGGCTTGGGGTGTGTGGGGAAGGCCCACAGGTACGCCCCCATGCCTAGGAAGGTGATGGTGTGGTAGCTTTCAGGGATACCTGGGGAGCGTGTCTTTCTGGCCTGGGGTGGAGAGGTAGTCTGGGGGACCCTGAAATCGTTGGAGCCCCTTCTGCTTGCCTGGATGCTGGGCTCTGGCTACAACTGGCTCTGCTTGTCTTTTACTAGAGGGTAATGAGTCCCCAAGCGCTATCCAATGGCCTGGCCTCTACTTCTCCCTACGCTGGCCCACGTCCAGCTCTGTCAGATCCCCAAGGTGGCTGTGTCGCTCTTGCTCTTGAAGGCTATGACAAGTGTGGCCTTGTAGGGCTGACCCTCTCTGGCCTGTTTGCAGGTCTCGCATTTCTTCTGGGCACTCTGGGCACTCATACAGAACCAGTACTCCTCCATCAGTTTCGACTTCCTCAGGTGAGTGTGGGGAGATGGGTGTGGGGAGGACAGCCCCGACAACCACGCTAGTCAAAACAGAATGCCAGGGTCCTTCCAGTGCACAGCTCACCCAACCCCAGCTCCCCAGTGAAAGTGAGCCCGTCGCCCACTAAGCTCCTGTGCTGTCCTACCCAGCACCAGGGCCCACTCTGCAGGCGCCATCTTAGTCAGAGCCCGGAATAAATGAAGGCAGGCCCGAGGGAAGTCAGTGAGATGGCTTGGTGGGTAAAGGCACTTGTGGCCCAGCCTGGTGACCTGAGTTTGACCCCCAGAACCCGGGGGAGGAGAGAACCAAATCCTGAAAGTTGTCCTGTGACCTCCACTTACACTGTGGGACACACACCCCTACACACACCGCAGCACTGTTAAAAACTAAAGAGGAGCTACAGAGTGCAAGGGTCTTACACAGATCACTCGGGTGGTTTAGAGCTACCCACACTGCCCCGGAGCCACTCACATCTATCTCTTCCTTAGGCTTAGGGGCCATTTCCACACTCTCACTGTGACAGCTTGAGGCCATTAAATGAGGCCCCTTTGTCCTTGCAGGCAGGGAGTCAAGCCCTCCATTCTGTCCCCAAACACCCTCAGTATAACACTATGCTGGCTCAGACACTGGGGCAGACATCATGGCTCAGATACGGGGACACACACAGCAGAGTATGCTGCAAAACCAAGACAGAAAATGGAGAGCGTTTGCAAGGAAACTGGAACCCTGCATACTGCTGGGAATGTAAACTGGCCCAGCCATTCTGTGGAAGAATGGCCCTTCAAACATTGAAAACTGGACCGCCCATGCGATCCAGCAACCCTCCCCCTGGGTGTGTCCCAAAGCGCAGAAGAGCAGGCTCACTGTAGTGAGTGCACAGCCATGCTTGTTTTAGGACAGTGGCCTTCGCAGCAGCCAAGTGTCCTCACCTCATGAGCATCACTCTGGCTTTGAAAGCAAGGGCGCCCTGTCACGTGCTATGCAGGTAAACCTGGAGGACAGTTTGCTAAGTGGAATAAGACAGATAGATGCCTTAGGACTATGAGAGGTGACAGAGTCCCGTGCGCAGGGACAGAGCAGAACGGTCACCGGGCTGGGACCAGAAAGTGACAGAGAGTTAACAGTTTTAGCTTTGAAAGACTAAAAGAGCTCTGGCGGTCCACTGTGAAGCAATTGGTATGCCAGCTTCCAGCATCCATGCTCATCCGCTTGCTTGCCCTGCCTCTGCCAGGTATGCAGTGATCCGATTCAACCAGTACTTCAAGGTGAAGCCTCAGATGTTGGCCTTGGAGATGCCAAAGTGACCCAGCCTCCTGCTCCTCTATGTCCTCCTGCTGCCGGACCTGCTCGCCAGGGCACCCGTGGGTCAGGTGCGCAATCATTAAAGCCCCCGCCCCAGGGGAACGCCAATGAAGACATTTTCTCGTTTGGACTGGCTGAAACCTAGTGTTGGGAGAGTCCCCTTCACTCTGCCAGGCCTGGAGAGGAAGTGCCTGCAGCTAACTTGGGGCCTACACTGCCACCCTGTGAGAGCACACCATTGCCAGCCCAGGCCCTCTGGAGCTTGGGCTGCCTCAGTTTGTCCTTGACCTTCCCAATAGGGGAAGGGCTAATTTCTACCTCTGGTGAGCCAGCCCCAGGTGAGAGGTGCCCAGCCAGCAGGAAGCCAACTCTACTGGCACCTTGGAGGCAGAGCTCCCAGCAGCTGCGGCATCTGAGCTGCTAACTTCTCCAAGCTCCCTGGGTTCTGAGGAGAGGGAATGAGGGAACACACAGATCTGTGCGGCCTTGGATGGTGTGGCAGGTACCAGAGCGAGCAGCAGCCTCCACCTCTCTTCCCTCCAAGGATCTGTCCAACGTATCTTCTATTGTGAACATAACCAAGGCCTTCCCGTTTGGGAATGAGCAGCAGAAGAGGCCAGCACCCAGGCATCACGAGCCACTGGAAGTATTACCAGCTCAGTCTCCACCTCCCAGGCCTAACAGTCCCTAGGGGGCAGCTGTAGACCCCTCTGTGATTCATTTGTAAATTATCATGTTTTTTCTGCATTAAAATGCTTCTGGAATGCTGTCTGCAGAAGGGGAATGGCTTGGCGTGTGACCGTGTGACCGCCACGCATGTGGAGAAGCTGGGCCAGCCTCAGCCTCCCTTCTGCGCCTTTGGGGTTTGTTCTTGCTCCAGTTACATCTCTGATGCCATCCTTGCCTGGCACCCTGTGGACCTGGGCGAGGCCGAGGCTGCCCTCCACACTCACCACCCTGTCAGTTGCCTCTGCACTTCGCTGATTACAGAGGAGCCGTGATGCAGACTACCAGAACTTGGGCCAATCAAAGGAAGGGCCCGCAGAAGACAGAACACTTCGGCTTCCCTCCACAGTCCTCTCCGGCCCTCAGCTATTGGGGTGGGAGAGAGCCACTCTGACTTACAGACAGCTAGGCCATTTTTGCAGCCAGAGCGGAAAACTCAAGTGAGAAAAACTCCAAGCATCTTGACTAGTCGCAGCTGGCCGGGGCAGGGGTGGGAAGAATCTGGTTGTCTGGCATTTGCCTGTAAATGTACCAGGCGTCATGGCAACAGCTTTAGTGGTCCCCGGCGGCTAGGGCTTTCAAGGTCACACGCTCCATTAGAAGCAGGCCTCCGGAGTGTGCTGATGGAGAACCCAAGGGAAAAGACGTGCCCAGGCATACAAATGGTGCCAGAGCTGGGAAGGAGGGGTCCCCAAAGTCACCTGTAGATGCTGGTGGCCATGGGCACAATTACACAGCAAATGCCCATATTCTTACTGTTTTTCAGCTACATTGGAACCAAGGACAGAATCCTGTGCAGTTGGCTTCATGGGCAGCCAGCTTCCTGGGCCTTTGTCTTATCACCCTGTAGACAAGTATGCAGCATTGAGTAGGGAGTGGCTGGGGCGGGCAGGTAGACGTTTCTGCCCACCTGGCCATGCCCTGCTTCTCATAGGAAGGTTCCAAGAGGGAGAAGTCAGGACTGGGAAGACTTCCAGGGAGATTACAAGACCCAAAGTGGGAAGTTAGGAGCGTCGAGCCAAGCAGCTCCCCCTAGTGGCCACTTAACCGGGCCGGGTAGCAGCACCCAAATAAGTTTCCAGAACCCTGGGCTGATCTTTTGTTGTTGGCCTCTATCTCAGGGCTAGTCAGGGCACCACGGTGTAAGGACAGCAAGGAAAGGCAGCCAGAGCTCTGAAGGGCAGGGCTGGCAATGAGGTCACTCCCTACCAGTAGCTCTTGGCAGTGGGTGGTCTTAATCCCGCCATAACTACCGACTCACCAGCATGTAAAACTAAGAAATCCCCTTTTCAGGGTCAAGTCTGAACCATTAGTCCCTGGGTTCTGAGAGAGAGAGAGAGAGAGAGAGAGAGAGAGAGAGAGAGAGAGATATCTTCGAGACTATCAGCAGCCCAGGTTCAGTCTCACAATACACAGCATCTCTCTTTGCTACTGGGAAACTGAACACTATCTTTTCCCTCTTGATGACCCCGGCCCCCTTGAACCATTCCTCTAAGGATATAACTACCTTCTGTTCTCACAGGCTGATTCTGGGCCCTTCCGGACCATGGTGCCTTTTTCTAAAGAGGGGGTTTGGACTCAGCCTGTGTGGAATAGATTCTGCCCCCTGGCCTCCCTCCCTGAGGGCATGACCCGGTTCATCTGGCCCATCCCCTGGAGTTGCTATTCCAATTTTGCTTCGCTGATGGTGTTAATTTAACCACAACTCGTCTTATAGAATCCCACTAATTTTGAAGACTTTGGGTTTTCCATCCAGCGATGATGTATGTCACAGCTATGCCTTTGAAATCCCCCCACTCAAAGTGCAAGGTCATCACGGAGTCTTGGAGAACATCTAGAGACCCTGTTCCCTTAACAAGTATGGCAGGGAGCCCACAAGAGAGCTCCTGAGTGTGTGTGATGGTTCTTCTGGGATGAGCCCACAGCCTTCACCGGATTCAAGGGGGCTCCCTCTCCCAGAAAGGGGGTAAGAATCATGGAGAAGCTTACGTCTCTTGCTTTCAGGTGGGGTAGTGAAGGCTAAAGGAGAGGGCTGAGCCACTGGTAATGCTGTTCCTCCAGGCCGCTGCAGTGGCTGCTCCTTCTTGAGCATCAGTGTGTGTCACTCATCTCCTGGTCAAAGCCAGTTGACACTTTGCCCGGTGATTCCCTATACCACCAGCAGGGGGCAGCCATGCCCGGCTGGCGCCAGGCTTGGGGATGGATTCAGGTCAGCCTCAGCAGAGCAAGGGTCTGAATTCTGAAATGGTCGGTCTTTATTATGCCATCAGAAAACAAATGTGCTGGTTAAGTTATTCATTATCTTCTTAGTAACAAAATAAAGCACTATCTATGTTTACAGTCATAAAAAGAAACAGTCTGGAGAGAAATAGGGTCATGGGAGGAGGGGGCACCTGGCTGTGTGGGGTTTGGGGTCACCTCCCTGGCTTGGGACTGTCCCACATCTTTGGAACTAGGTGCTAATGGTCTCTGATTTTCTTGGGAAGCAGCCAGGAAGTTTATTAGGAGTGAAGCCCATTCCTCAGGACAGAGTCGGGGAGGAAGGAACCCGTCCGTCCCAAGCTCATGAAGAAGGGTTAGAGATGAGCTGCCATGGGGTCCCCTCTGCAGGGCTGTCACTGACCAAAAAAAGAGGAGCCATCAGTCCTCTGGCCCCCATGCCTGGGACTCAGGACATGGCCCCTCGGAGGCTGAGGCACGTGCTCACAGTACTAGGAGCTAAAAATGGCTCCGTGGGAACTGACTGGCAAAGTCAGGAGCGGGGAGGAAAGGGGTCGCACAGGGTCAGGAAACTGCCAGTCCCAGGGGCAGGCTGGGCCCTGCAGAAACCCAGAGAATCCAGTGGGTGTGAGAGCAGGGAGAGATGGAGGGAGGGAGGGAGGGAGGGGGAGGGAGGGAGAGAGAGAGAGAGGGAGGGAGAGATGCACACTGGGAGAGAACACACAGAACCTGAGACACCAGACTGACAAAGAGGTAGCAATTTGGGGACAAAGAAGCACAGAAGAAGCCCCCAGAGAAGCATCAAGAGACACAACACAGAGCTCATCAACATGCCTGGCTCCCAGCAGCCACTTAGCACATACCTTCTCACACACACACACACACACACACACACACACACACACACACACACACACACACACACACACGCTCCCAGCAGCCAGAGGCACATGGACTTGGAAGACAAAGACAGGACAGAGAGCCAGACCCCTCTGTACAGAGTATGAAATGATCCAGGTGACAGAAGAATGAGCTAGGAGCTTCTGGGGCAGACATGTTGTCCCACCACGGCTGGTCTGGCCAGGACAAAATGGAAACAAAGCATGTTTGGGGACAGGCGTGTACCTGCCGTTCCCTCAGGTAGGTAGGCCACAAAAGGGAGTATGTCCAGTGTTCCCTGGGCATTAGCCCCAAGGCCCAAAGACCTCAGCCAGCTTGGCCCATCACAGCCACGGGAATCCCACCCAGCCAGGCCATCAACTCCTCAGATGTGCCCGAAGAGGAAAACAACCCCCCACAGACACCTTGGGAATGTATCTACAAGTGCACAGCTTCACCCATCACCTGGGCACACAAGTCCAAGTACCAACATAGCTCAGGATGGCTGGCTGCGCCTGTTGGGTGGAAACAGGCCAGGCCCAGCTAGCTGGGGGTCAGTCTGTGAGTACCACCAACTCCCCATCACTCTTCTCCTCGCCCTCCGAGTCCTCGTCCTCGCTGTACCGGTCCATGTCTCCATCAGCCACTGAGTGCCTGTCATCGGTGCCCTCCCCTTCCTCCCGGAGGCTGCATGTATTGATAATGACCGGCATCCTGGGGTCCAGGCCCTGAGGGACATAGTGCTCCACCAATGGTTGCGCCAGGGGCATGCCGGCTGCCCGAGGGAACAGGACATCTGAGGAGCTCACTGCCTGGCCAGCCTGCGGGCTGAGAGGCAGAGAAAAAGCGCAGTTACCGGTGTACCCACACGGCCTCCCGGCACACCCCACCAGGTGTCCTTTAAGCCTCACAGGCACGCATCCAACTCCTCTCCCAACTGGGGAATCGCCATACCCTGGGCCCTGTGTGTGTGTATCCCGAGGGCCAAATTAACCGTCAGCTCTGGCTGGAAAATCTGGGGTCCTGGGTTATCTTTGGAAGGCGGCACGGGAATACTGTTTCATTTTAGCGCCAATGTCCACGCGGTTCCACTACTGTACTTGCCGGGGTTATTATAGTCAAGGAGCCTTCCTACGGGGTGAATCCCTATTGCGCAGCTGGCCTTGCCCTGCATTTGTCAGGCAGCGAGTGTCCCACAGTCATTCTGGGTATGACCCAACCCCTAGTCACCAAAGTCTCACACGTAGTCATTATCCATCAGGCGTCATGCACAGGCAGATGACACACAAATCTGCACACAGATGCCCACTTGGCAGCCTCACAAACCCTGCCTGCCTCACACACGAACCATGCCAGCCACACATGAACCCAGCCTCTCACAATAGCCACAAGCTGCCTCTGGCCACCAGGGAAGGCCTGCTCACGGGATGGTGTAGCTCTGGCGAGCACCCTGGCGCCGTGTCCTCATCAGGGCCTTGTACTCGCCCACGCGCAGCCGCCTTCCCTCCACAACGCAGGTACGCTTAGGCCGTGGCTTGTACTTGTAGTCGGGGTATTTCTCCAGGTGCTGGCGGCTCAGACGGGCCTGCTCCTCATAGTACGGCTGCTTCTCCTGGTTTGTCATGGACTTCCAGCGAGAGCCTGATCCAAACCCAGGCAAGAACTTAGGGTCAGACTCCCAGGCCCCAAGCTCTAGAAGCCCTGACTGGATCCTGGTCCCCAAGTGCGATCAACAGGTGATACAGGTGTAAGAACTCAGCAAGCGCCTGGCCCAGTGTGGATGCTGGGCAAGGGTTACATGAGACTGATAATGACAGGCAGCATCCTCATGCTGAACAACTCCTGCCCGAGAGGTGTTTTCCCAAGGCCATTCACAAGACAGGAGCCACTCCGGGCCACCAAGTGTCCACTGCCAGTCTCAGATGCGGCTCTGTGGTAGAGCAGCTGCAGAGCAAGGGCCAGGTCCTAGGCTGCACCCCCAGCCCAACAAAGCTAGAAGACAGTAACCCCGCACTGCTCCTGGAGCATCATCCCCACTCAGCCTCGTCTGCCCCGCCCCCTCAGTCCTGACACCATGTGGCATTTAAAGTCTCGATTCTGATGGTCCGTAATACCAATCTCCCGTTTACTGCCACAGCACAGGCTAGGAGGCATTGGAGAACACACAAAGTTCCAAGGGAAGGAGCAAGAAGAGCCCTGCACTGGTACAAGGTTCCAGCTGCCCATCACATTTCAACTGTCACATCCTCTAAGATTCTACCAGGGTTCAACAAGGCCTGCAATATCACCAAGTAGACCCCGAGTAGACCCAGTCCTACTGAACTATGACCCCTGGACTCAACCCCTTAAACTGTACAGGGCCCATCCTCTGGCCCTTACCAAGAATCTTGCTGATGCTGGAGTTGTGCATGTCTGGGAAGGCCTGGAGAATTTTTCTCCGCTCATCCTTGGCCCACACCATGAAGGCATTCATGGGTCTCTTGATGTGGCTGCTATTCCGGGACTCGGAGAAATGGCGGGCGCCTGGAGGATGGGTAGACAGAGTCAGGCAGTCAGAGTCAGCTAGCTGGCAGACTCCAGGGCTGGCAGAGACATCCCTTGCATGGCCACCAGGGGGCACTAAGGAGGCTCACACAGAGGTCAGCTCAGCTCAGGCGGGGAGCAGAGGCCCACCACAGCCAGAGAACAGGCACAGCAGGGAACTTTAAAGACTTGCAGGGCCCCACAGAGGAGCCACAAGACACCAGGGCGCAAAACAGGAGATGCATGCCAGGGCCTGACGGCTTTACCCCAGGAGGACCCAAGAAAAGAGAGAAGGGATCACACACAGACACGGCTCTAGTGGGGTGGAGTGGTACCCAGAGCCAGAGCCCTCACCATCCATGTCGCAGCTCAGCATGGCTTCCTCCAGTGGGTGTACACAGCTCTCCTCCAGCCGCTCCTTGGCTGGGGATGATTCCAGGCTGATGAGATCCTGCAGGTGACAGGGACATCGTATCATTCCTCCTGTGCAACCTGTCTACTTTGTTTGTTTGCTTGTTTGTTTTGCTTTGTTTTTTCCAGACAGGGTTTCTCTGTGGCTTTGGAGCCTGTCCTGGAACTCACTTTGTAGACCAGGCTAGTCTGGAACTCACAGATCCTGCCTCTGTCTCCCGTGTGCTAGGGTTAAAGACATGTGTGCACCACCACTGCCCGGTCTGTCTACATCTTCTATCACACGCTCCTGCCCTCTGGGAAGAGTTAGTGTGATCCATACCTTTCGGAATGGAGGGTTAGGGGAGTTTTCCAAATTCCCACTGTGGCTGTGCAGCAGCTGGCGAGCGTCCTGGATAGCTTTGGTGACAGCATCCCCTTCGCCAAGGAAGCCTGTTGAAGAGCGAGCCAAGTGAAGGGCGGGAGGCCTGAGGGCTTCATCCCACGCTTCTTAGACTTCCTGCCATGTGGCTCCTAGGAGCTCCTTGTGGTGGTACTGCCCCTGCCCACTCCCACACACCCTTGTGGGACTGCCTGGTGCATGGTGGGTGCTAAGGGGCTGGGATTGAATCGGTACTCCCCAAATCTGCAACTCAGTGGCCAGACCCTGGGCTGTCCAATCCGGTCCTGGAGGATAAACGGGATGCGGAAGCCAGCCTCCTCTGCATATGTAAGCCTAGACCCTGGCCTAGAAAGCAGAGCCTGGAGTGGAGCTTAGGGATAAGAGTGGTTTGGAATTTTTAAAACCCCAAACTGGAACCAAGAAAGGGAAGGGACTTTGGCCACGGTGGCGTCTGACTCAACCGTCCTCTTGGGTGAGAGCACATAGACAAGCTTACCCAGAGGCAGGCTTGGGGGGCTGGACTGCAGGTCCCTTGTGGGAGCCCCGCGGCTGGAGGGACGAGGCCCACAGCTGTTCATTTTCAGGTTGGGGGAGCTGGAGGTGTTGGGCAGCTCAGGCACCTTGGGCTTGGCTGTGAGGTTCAATGGCTGGGGTGGTTCCTGGGGACCCAGAAAGTCAGAAAGTGAGAAACATCCTCGCTATGGTGGGACAGCCAGGACTCAGGGAGAAAGTGAGGTCAGCACACACGCCCAGAGCAGACAAGAGGGAGGGCAGTGGCTCGGCAAGGGAGGGACCCAGGTGGCAGTGGGCAGGGGAGTACCTGCAGAGGGTGGTGGGTGGCCACCCCAGGCCTTTTCACCACAGGGGCAGGAGGGCTGTGTAGCAGCTGCAGCGGGTACTCCACTGTGGAAAGAAAGAGAAGCAAGGGACGAAGTCCCAGATGAGCCCCAACAGCAGGCACCTGTGTGACAGGTCCCCGTGCTCACGTAGGTGGGCGGAGCCTAGGGCTGGAGTAGGTGGGCGGAGCCTAGGGCTCTGTTCTCATCAGGCTCAAGCGGCACAGGGGACGTCTGTTATCCCCTCTTCCTACACGGCCCCTGCGGGCGGGATGGCCATGCCTGCCCTCTCCAATCTAAAGAGTCACGGGAGGGCGCTCTCCCGTCTTGTACCTGCTGAGTGGAGGGGGCAAAGCAACTACGTTGGGAGGGACGCCCCATGCGCTTTGCCGCCACGACAAAGCGCAGGCGGTCGTAAGGGATGCTCGAAACACCGATCTCATTTTACAGGTGTATCGGCCAGGGTTCTCTGGAGATCCCAGCAGATCAGGACAGACAGACCTTACAGCAGGCTGCCCACCAAGCCATTACATGGCAGCAGCAGGACTTGATTGAAGCCAGGTCTTCTAGATTCTACCTATCCTTGGCCTATACAGTTCTCTCCCTACCTACCCTATCTCCCTAGGGCTAGTCTCAGGGGAGGCCTGGAAATGCAGCACAGATTAGATAAGCCTGCCAACAGATCCCTAGGGACAAGGGCCCTCGGGAGGTGTCAGGGCACTGGGGTGGAGATGGGGTAGGAAGGTATGAGGATATGTTGAGGAGGATGAGCCCAGCCGGCAAGCAAGGTTGTACTCTGCTGTGGACTTGTGGAACGGGAAGGCTACCCTTCCTGCTGGGGCAGATACAGGCACCAGAAATCACGGGATCATCCCATCAGTCACCTTTATTCTCACTGCTCATGTGTTCCCGTGCACCCACATCCCAGACCCCATGCTGCCCCCAGACCCCAGCATCCCTCATCCCTGTCTCTCTCGCACACCTCTGCAACCTCTTTTCCCTCAGCCCCTGCCCCAGTTCCCCCTCCAGGACCCCCAGGCCTCTCTCTCCCTCCCTCTCTCTCCCTCCCTCTCTCTCGCTTTGCAGTGGGTTCTTCCCTTCCATCCTCCCAGCCAAGCTTCAGAAACAGGACTTCTTCCACAGGACAGACCCCAAACTGTGGCCCAGAAAGGCCATTGAGCAGTGATGGATGAAGAGCGGGGTGAAGAGCGGGGCTGGGCTCCTCTCAAGACAGCAGTCTCTGAGGCAGCCCTTGCCTGGACCCACTCACCTGGCTTGCAGGGGATGGGCTGAATCGGCAAAGCCAGTTGGGAGTCAGGGGTGACAGGCAGAGGCTGGTGACTCGGGGGAAAGGCTGGGATCATCACATAAGGCATGTTAACCTGCTGAAGGCAAAGAAACCCACTGTAAGTCTCTGGGGGACCCAAAGAGCTGCCCATCCAGCTGGGGTCCAGTAGGGGCAACTTTCCAAAGATTCCATCTGACCCCATATCACATCTCTGACCCATCTCCTTGTCCTCGAGTCTCAATAGGGGGTAGAGGGAGCGAGGCATTCTGGGGTCGCCCCCTGAAAACAGGACCCCAGAATCGGAGGGAATTGGAGCAAGAGTATGGCCTCGTCGCGCAGCCTGGAGGGAGCCTGTCGCGCAGCCCCTTCCCCAGAGCAGGCCAGTGTCACCCGCTGTGCGCCTTCCCATGGTCACCTGGATCTGCTGCTGGAGGGCATTGATCTTGTGCTGCTGTTGAATCAGCTGCTGCTGCTGCTTGGCGATCTGGTGAGGCATTGAGCGGACAAAGGGAATCACGGAAGGCCCTGGCTATCCTCCAGCACCCGCCCCAGCCTGCCCGACTTCCCCAGGAGGCCACGCAGGGCCGGGGCGCAGGACCGACGGAGCACCAGTTCACGGAACCTGGCCTCCTCCCATGGACAGCGCCCGTTCCCACGGAGACTCGGGAGCCCCTGCCCGGGTGGCACCTGCTCCTGCTGCTGCCGGGCGAGTTCCATCTGCTGCTGTTGTTTCTCAAACAGCATGGCAGCCATGTTCTTTTGCTCAGAGTGGGCCGTGAGGAGCTGGTCACGAAGGGCGGACAGCTGGTGGATCATGACCAGAAGCTGGAGCTCCTTCTCAGCCAGGCTCTCTTGGGTCCCTGCTCACAGGGAAATGCCACCATGGAGAGGTTTTGTTAGTTCACCTGTCTATCCGCCCACCTGCCCATCTGACAACCTTTCTAGCCCAGGATCCTACCAGCCCGGTGCCCAACATCTCTGTAACGGATTTTTAAAAAAAATCTATTGGTTGGCACAGTGACAGTTACTTCATTGTGGGATGAACGAGCTAATGTGTGGGAAGCTGTTTGTCTAGGATCTGACAATGTCTGCTCAAGTCCCTGCCTTCCATTCCAACCTGGCTGTCTGGTGGGACAGTTTATTCCCAAGAGCTTAAGAGGGGACCACTTATAGTCAGGATGCCTCTGGGAAAGGGCAGAGATCAGGCTTCCATCTCCGGGGCTCCCAGTCAGCAGGGAGGGGGTGAGGCATGAGCATGGGTTTAAAGCTCCCACTGTGGGTGTACTCAACAACAGTGAGCAAATGATGCCTCTGAGGAGGCAAGCAGCAGCCCTCACACGGTCCGGGAAGCCTCCCCTCAACTGCCAACAGTAACTGGAAACTTTCAGCTCACTTTACACTGAGACCTCAAAGGTTGAAGGATGGATCCCAAGTCCCAAGGGCCCCTAATGAGAGCCTAGATCCATCCCACGGGGCGGGGTGGGGGGGTGGGGGAGTGGGGGCTAAGGAGATCTACTTCAAGGCAGACCTCCCCCACCTGGGGATGCGTATAGAGACTCCCAGGTGAGGCATGGTGATAAACCTCAGAGCCAGGTGTATGAGGTTCTGTGCTATATATAATACACCCAGAGAGGCTCTGGCTGAGACGCCCTCCGGGTCTCTGCACGCAGGCCCCGTACCTTTGACATCTTTGGTTTCCACAGAGCTTCTTCCCAGAAGCCGCTCCTTCCAGTCACTGGACAGCAGCTTCTCAATGGCTGGCACAACTGAAAGACGGAAGGGTAAGGGCAGGGTGAGGCCCCGAGAGCGGCCGGCCGGGACCTCACCTTTGACAGGGCAGGCACCCTACCTTCTTGTAAGTTGCGGTTAAAGTCCAGCCGCTCCTGGCTTCCCGAAGCAGCCTCAGAAGCTGCTGGTCTCTTGGGGTCTGGGGACCCGCTGCTCTCTGGTGAGGCACAGTCCTGCAAGAGGCACTAAGTTATCATCAGTGCCTGCCACGCCCAGGAAAAGGAGCACAGGGCGGTCTGAGCACCTGAGGGACCCTGCGACTCTATGGGCTGTTCCTTCTCAAATTCCCAGGCCCGTGGTTCACACTACCTGGCAATGATACAGAGAAATGAACAGACACTTGGGGGCAAGAGACCTGGGTCCAGGCTTGAAGGCTCGCAGCGGGCTAGATCTCACACAAGCCCCAGACAAGTCAAGAAAGTCAAGACTTGTCTCTGGGGTCCATATAGTAAAGCGTCTGAATGAGGGGCGGATTCATCAAGATGGGCTGATGATAGTTTTGGGATCACCATGGAAACACATGGTTTGTCTATGAGGATGCTTCCAGAAAGAATTAACTGAGAAAGAAAGAGAACCCTGAATAGAGGGTCCTGGCCTGTGTCATCTCCCCACTTCCAGACTACAGATGCTGTATGGCCAGCTGCCTCAATTCCTGGCCACCACACTTTCTCCACCAGGTGCATCCCCAAACTGTGAGCCGAAATAGACCCTCCTTTAAGGATTCGTCCCTTAAAGCAAGTCAACAGAGCTCACCCTCAGCTAGTCATCACTACAAACCATGTGCTTCTCCAGCAAGGTTACTTGATTGCAGGAGCCCACTGTGGCCTCCCTAAACCATCCCTGGGGCAGAAGAAATGCCTCAGCAGTTGAGAACTCTTGCAGGGGACCAGAGCTCAGTTCCTGGCGCCCACATCCCAGCTCCAGAGGATCCAACTGTTGTGGAATATTTGTTTAACTATGCAAAGATGTGTTGCACTTGTTTAACTATGTAAAGATGTGCTGCTGTTTTACCTTGCCTACCATAGGCACCTGACCGGCCTAATAGAAAGCTGAACAGGCCATCTCTCCGAACCCAGTTCCCCCCTGGGTAAGAGAACAGCCACTCAGGTAGGGATGGAAGGAGACAGGTGGCCCAGCTTCTAGCCCTGAGCATGGTAGCTCCTTCCCTCAGCTCACCTAGGGTTCACCTGGGCTCCGTCTCGTCCTTGCAGAGACCACTTCTGCACACAAGCTAGACAAGAGTATGCAGGCCCGGTGGAAAGGGTAGCTCAGTAGCAGGTGAAGCCACAAAGGCAGATTGGGGACAATGACTAGATACCTGAGCTGGAGCTTGGGAACCGGCAGCATCCTGCAGCCCCAGAGCTAGGTCTTCAGGCTGGGTCTCCACTGCAGCAGCCTTGTCCTGGGGGGCCTCGTGGTGAGGTTCCTTCTCTTCAGATTTGATGGTGCAGTTCACCATGGTGCTACCACTGTCCGGGGCCAGCTGCACAGAGACAGGGCTCCGCATGGACATCCTGCAGGAGAAAGGTCAGGGGGCGCAGAGTGAAGGAGGTCCGTGGCCCAGTTACAAACCCACCTTTGTGTCCCCAACCCAAGCACCTCCTGGTGCCCCTCAAAGACGCGTGTGTACAGCACAAGCCTACTTTGAAGCCTGCTTTCTTATTTTTTAACTTTTAAAACCCATCACTCCCTCCTTTCTCTTTTGCAATGGCCAGGGCCTTGCACATGCTAGGTGAACACTCCCTGTCTCTTGCTATGCTGGCTCCAGGAAGCCGATGCGCTCACCCAAGGAAGCCAGAGAGGGTTAACTGGCACCTTCAGAGCCCAAGATAACTGAGCACTGTATGTGTGTACACATCCGTAGTGGAACTAGTTACTAAGACTCAAAAGCAAGAGTCAGCGTTCTAAGGGCCTGAGTTTGAAAGCAGGGAATAGGCTGTTCTAAGTAACCATGTGGGTGCTGGGAACCAAACCCCAGTCTTGCAAGAGGAGCTCGTACTCTTAACTGATGAGCCATCCCTGCAGCCTCAACTGTCACCCTCCCAATCAAGCACCTTGACTGCAGCATCGCTGGGCTTGCAGGTTGGAGCCACTGCTGAGTAATGCAGGAGTAGCTTGAATGCAAACTGCCCTAGCAGCTGACTGAAGGAGATGTCACCAGTTGACCCACATATTGTGGACAAAGGAGGGTCACAACCCAGAATCTTCAAGATTCTGTTACGCTACTAGGAATAACATGCTATTTAAAAAACATTCAGGGATGGAAATGTAACTCGGTGGTAGAGTGCTTGCCTAGCACACATGAAGCTTTGGGTTCCACCCGCAGCACCATATAAAACTAGGTGTGCTGAGGTCCAGAACTTTGGAGGGGAGGCAGCAAGTTCACAAATTCCAGGTCATCCTTGGCTACATAGCAAGTCAAGGCACAGCCCAGGCCCAATAGACCCTGTTTCTAAAACCCAAAATAAGGCCAGCAAGATGCTCCAGCAGGAAAAGATGCTCGCTGTCCAACAATGCAAGCCTGGGCATCTGAGTTCCATCCCTGGAACCCACATAATCGTAGAAGGCAAGAACCATTCCAGAATTGTCACTTGACTTCCATTCATGCCCAGACACAAACATCTCCCTTTCTTCCGCACATGCACAACAAATAAATCTAGAGCAAAACAAAAAACATTATGGATTATTTACTTCTAAGGTTTTCTACCTAATACTTTCAGGTCACGGCGGGCACCTGAAACCCTGTTAAATGAGAATAAAAATAGTGTATTTGTATACCACGTAAGTTCTGTACGGGGTATGCCGTAGTCTATAGATTCCACCAACTACTCTGGTACTGTGTACTGAGCCACACGATGTTACAGCTTTGCATACAATAGAATATATAAGGTGCTTAATGAATAGCTACAGCAATATTATAATCGATTAAGATATATGCATATGTATCTGATTTGATTGTATCCTGCAGGTCAGGCGACAGCAGACTCCCCCACCCACTTTCTGAGTGCAAGGAACCCAGGATAGAACAGGGCAAAGACAAGGCTGGCTGACCCTAGCTGGGCCCCATCTCTCTCACCTGGACGAAGAGAAAACAGACCCCAGCCCAGCTTGGCCCAGGGGTCTGAGGGGCAACCTGGAGAACCAGCAGAAATCGGGCAGCTCAACCCATCCAACTGGGGAGGGGCTGGGAGCCGGGCCCCGCGGGGGACAGGAGTGGGGGCGGGGGCATTATCCTGGAGCTGAGGGCAGCAATTACATAACAAACAAACCCGGGCTCAAGCTGTGAATTAATCAAACCGCTGAAAATAAAACCTTCCTCTCAGGAACTTCAGACAAAAGAAATGAAAACAACCAGGCTGGCTGGGAAATAAAAGGCAGCGGAGCTGAGAGCTGGGACAAAAGGAAACCAGACAATAGGGTGTTGGACAAAAGCAATAAAGCCAGAGGAAGTGTGACAGGCGCACAATGAAGGCCTGTGGGCTTCTGATCCCTCGGCTCTCAGCCACCTCATCCCACACCCACCGGCTGCCACCAGGTCGCCTCCTCTGGCCAGACTTGGGTCCCCAGGGCTTTTCTTCTCCATTAGGCCCCAGCCTCAGGCTTCCAACTCCTACCTCAGTCAGAGCAGTCCGGGCCACCGCAGCCAGAGTGCCCGGTCAGATGAGCGCCCGCGGCCAAATGCTGCCCCACTGGACATCCATCCACCCCCCTGAGGTGGAAGAGTCAATGTCCTGTCCTGGCTGCCCAAGACCAGTCCCACCAGCTACATCTGGCTACTGAGAGCCCTTGCAATGCAGCCAGTCTGGGTGGGAATGTGCTGTATCAAACACACACACACACACACCAAGGGTCCCAAAACTTAGCACACAGGTGCACTAACTCATTCATAAACAGTGTGGTCACAACTGATGGATTAGGTTAGGAAGAAACATCCTCCTTTTAGCCCCCCTCTCTTACATCTTTTAAAGATCGACTTTGTTTTAAATTGTGTGTGTGTGTGTGTGTCGTCGTATGTGTGTGCCCTCATGAATGCTCTCTTGCCCCAGGCCAGAGGCATCGGATTCCCCTTGGAACTGGGACTTACTTGTTTCTTGCAAGAGTGGTACCAGCTCTTAATCTGAGCCATTCTAACTCTAGACAAAACACTCTTAGGACTCATTCCACATTTTTATCCCCCCTGAGACAGCACCTAACTGTTGGCCACACTGAACCAAGATCCACCTGCCTCGGTGCCCAAGAGACATCTGATTCTTTAGCTTTTCTGTATTTTTTTTTTTTAATGTGCATTGGTGTTCTGCCTACACATATGCCCATGTGAGGGTGTCTGATCCCCTAGAACTGGAGTTACAGACAGTTGTGAGCTGTCATGTGGGTGCTGAGAATCGAACCCTGGGTCCTCTGGAAGAGCAGCCAGTGCTCCTAACAGCTGAGCCATCTCTCCAGTCTCCTTAGATGATTGTCTTTATAATTTTGTCTCCTTGTTTAGGGTGGCGGTGGAGGCTGTACCCAGGGCCTCGCACAGGCTAGTGTGCACTCTACTAGTGTAGCACATCCAGCATTACATTTTCTTTTTTAAACTTGTGTTTACCAGGAGACACAACACTCTGCAACTAAATGCCAGTGTGTTCCTCAGGCCACCTCCTACCTCTCCCACACCCACCCAGCATCCTCAGCCCATAAGAAGTGGCACCTTGGGGCTCCCAGCTCTGGTTAACTAAGGAAATGGCTCCCAGTGACAGCAGGCCGGCTTGGAGTTGTCAACCTGGTCGCCTCAGCCTGGTAACCCTACCAGACCCTGTTGCCCATCAGGGTATATCCATGTTCACAGTCAGGCAGGGACAGGGCTCATGGTTGATCCGCTCGGAGCTTATGAAGAGGCCAGGCCTTGGCAGGTACCTCTTTGGGCTGTCCTTCTGGGAAACAGAGTCCCGGACCACCTCTCTGCCTACCCATCTCTGCCCTGTCCCTGGCGGCAAGGTCCCCTATCTGCAATGGTGAAAAGGGAAGAGTCTCGGGGCTAGACTGTAATTCCTGCCTGACCCCAGCTGACCTGTGTGAGCACTGGTAAGTAGCCTCTCTGCCTATCCTGCACGCCTCGCTGGAATCTAGAGGGTTAAAGTACTCCAGGGTTAGAGCATCCGTACATGCAAGAGAGTCAAGCGGGTGGCAGAAAAGTCTCCAAGTCACGCAGACCTGGGTATAACTGCACCCGAACTCGGAATAGACACCGCTGTTCCACCTTAGGGAAATAACTTAACCTCCCTGAGCCTGATTCCTCCTTGGTAAAACAGGGGATAATAGAATCCAGGTGAAGGTAATGTGCCTATGTTACGTTCTCAAGGCACTTTGAACTTGGCCTTCGAATGCCTGATGACTCTGACTCACCCAGTAGCTTGGGAACCCGACCAAGGCAGGGTGAAAACACACCCGTTACACCCATCATTGTAGCTCCAGAGCCTAGCACGGTGCCTGGAGCATGGAGGAGACCGGATGCTGCTCCCTGCCCTTCCTGGGTGTGAATGACACCCAGCGACACAGCAAGCTCATTTCTTGGTTTTCCTACCCCTACTGGTAAGAAACCTTTCCTGGTTCTTCGGATTTAGAGGCCCCACAGGAGCCTCCCTTCTCAAGCCCCTTTTGTAGGGACTAAAGACTTCCTCTACTCCTTCTTGCAAAGCACATGCTATGATGTCTGGGGGGGGGAGGGGGGTCCTCCTCTAGATGCCCAGAAGCCCAAAGCCCACAGTGCACAGGGGACAGTTATGGGCTCCCTCAGTTCATCCCTATCCTGCAACCCAAGTCCTAGTTAGGAGCCACACATACAAGGCAGCCCACCAGTGCCCAACTCCGTGGAAGTCCCCCATGCCACCCCACCCCAGCATCACACTTTTTTTTTTTTTTTTTAAATAAATGGGTTACTGAGGTCTAGAGACGTCAAGTGTGTGTGCTTGTTGGACAGCCCTGCTTCAGAACTACAGTCAGGGACCTTCCGCCAGCGAGGATGCTGCAGCAGCCTGCCTCTGCCACCAAAGCAGGCAAGTTACAACATCACCTGCCTTTCCACCATCAGCCCTGCCTGCCTGCGGCAGGTGCGCCCCGTTAAAAGCACCCGCCAGGCACGGCTCGCTCTCTTGCCTCTCCTCTCTTCTTCCTCTTGTCTCTTCCCCGTTCTCTCCGTCCGTCTGTCTGTCTACCATCTCTAACACCCCACTCCCTCTTTCACTTCCCCCCTCCCCCAACAATCCCCTTGCACTAACTCCATTGCACGCGGCGTGTTTGCTTAGTGGCATACATACCTTGGCAGGGCCTGCCGGAAGGTATTTATCATTACACCCCTCCTCTACCCTCCCCTCTCGCCTAGAGAGTCCTCCTCACAGGTCTTCTCTCCTTCCTCCTTAGCTGTGTCTCACTAAGTATCCTGGAAGGACACCATCCCCTGGGAGCAGGAGGCTCCAACCATCTTCTCCAACCCTGGAGTTTCTGAACTGGTGCCTGGGACTTTGAATCCAGTGTC